CATTCCACAACGACAGGGGCTGAAATGAACCATAACATCGGGGTAACCCCCTACTCTTCCGAAAGATGCAATGGGTTCTTTAAGGTGCGCACGAGCCAGATGTATACACTGGACCTCCATTTTAAGTCCTAATCCGAGAAGACTTGGTTCTACCAACCGAACCATGGGCGAGGAGCGGCTGGAACCAGCGCCGATGTTAAGGCTGTAGCTAGCGGCGCCCCTGCCTTATCACTCGGCCATTCGACTCTAGGATAGTTGGGTACTTCATGAAATCGTTCGGCAGACGGCTTGGTGTAGTATACCCGATATCTAACTCTACCAATTTAATTCTCCAGTCAACCCTGGCATGAACAGTCTACGCTATTATAGTCAGAATAAACAGATTGAAATTAAGAGTGTATTTTTGGGATATATGATCAACCAACCCAAGTGTCTTTTCACCTGTTAGAAGTCGGGCACTGCTAAAATTCTTCGAAGTTTAATAAAATGTTGTATAAGCTATGAGAGAAAAAAAATGCCTGATAATGTATGCCCGCCTCAACTTTTGTAACAGATATATATACATCCATTTAACCAAATTAGTATACTAATATACGATTGGTTATGTTTTCAGATCATCTTCTGTAATATTATGATCAATACAAATTAGAGAGTAACATTTGCACAATGTTCTTCTGGAGAATGTTGGTTAACTATGGTAACTGGATTCTTTCAATAATATAATAACTCAGTCACTTATAACCCTAGAGAGTTAGAAACTGAGTATGTAATATTGCAATCACCTCATCAACGTATTTCCGAATGAAATCTTGATTACTCTCCAAGTCGGTGAGTCTGCTAAAGTAGAAATAATATTTACTTACTGTAACATGTATGAAAAAAAAATCCTCACTGAACGAACGAGCAAACATTGACTGTAAAACAGGTTATCAAATTAGATCTCAAGCATTTAACTTCCATTGCCAACTTCGAACCGTATTTATTGTCCTGACGCAATTGTGTAGGTTTTCTTTCTTTCCCTTTTCCCCCCTTTTTATGGTTTTCTTTTTTAAGAGCACTTCGAACCGTATTTACTGTCCTGACGCAATTGTGTAGGTTTTCTTTCTTTCCCTTTCCCCCCCTTTTTATGTTTTTTTTTTAAAGAGCACTTGACGTGTTCGTCACTTTGAACTCTGAGCAACGAACACAACTAGGCGTTGATGATGTGAACACATGTAGTGGTCTAGATACAGCATCATCTCTCCCTGCTTGAACCGAGTTTTGAAACTCTACGTATAATAAAGCCATGGACAATTTTGTTTGTTTGTTTGTTTGTTTATTATTTATTGCCCTCATTATTATAACATCAAAAAAAAAAAAATCAAGTACATCAATGCACAAAAATGAGAGCAAGAGGATAACCCTATAAGC